TAGTCTTATTTAGGGAACCTCGTTTGGCTGTTTGTAGAGCCAAATAACGTTTTCAGCTCAAACAAAAAAAATACTCGTAATTTTTATTGTTAAGTTCTAAAAACACGATATAGAACAAATAAACGGGATGGTAGTCTTGAAATAAATTAATCACTTTCCAATCGCCCACGCATTATTCGAAGGTTTGTAATTAGCAGAAACCTCCGAATCAGGCTAAGGACACTAATGGGATCTTTGCAAGAAAGGAGCTAAAGTGAAGCCAGAATCCGATAGGAAAATGTTTAAAATTGACTATTAGAATAAACCTTTTCCTTAGGGTAAAATAGCCGCCGCTGCTTAGAGACAAGTCAATAGTAGAGCCTTTTCCTAAATTCTCATTTATTTAAAATTTTAAAAGCCTATAACTTAGAAGTGGTCTGACCCGTTTTCGCAACTGGGTCATGTTGTCAGGGTGACCTAATTGACTTGGCTCTGACAGTAGCTTGGTGCTAAAAATGACAAGACTCACCGAAGATGCCGGCGAAATATGTGTGGATGCTCCGACGCTGGGAATTACCATAACCATTGTAGAAGAGGACTTCGAACAAGGTGCATTTAACAAAGTCCTCGTGAAAATACAACCAAGCTGTGAAAACGAGGTCAAACCAGGTCCATCTCCAAAGTAATTTCGGTCTGTAAAAAATATGCCAATAAGCGTTGCATTCACTATTATTCTAGAGCAATTTCAGTTAGTGCCAGTATTAGCTTGACTCTGAGCATGGTTGTAAAAATGACATTTCGTTTTGAGTAAGTTCACGATACTACTACGATGAGCTGTGACTAACCTATTTTGCGTTAGGTGAAGGACTGGTAGTTGAATTTCCTCAAAATAATGTGAGCGGACATGGCATTTCCATTGAATTTCACAGCCTTAATTGCCCAAAGGTAATATCATTCAAGGTGGACTGCAATTTTGATCTCGCATAAGTCTAAATAAACAACCCCAACACTGTATCTTCATAGTTAGAGTCCCGCTAGGGGCGTTGATAAGACCTAATCAAGGTTAAAACTTCAATCCATCCTGGATGAGGACACCTTATGAGAGGACAAGGACGTGAAATTCAACAACGAAACAGAGTGAACACAGGTGAAATGTAAGTGATACCGTGATTTGATGATGCCAGTCATATGCTGACGAAAGCTTAGCACGTTTTTACAGGAAGTTTCAATAAAAATGTCCAAGTAAAGCCATTCAACAGCTGGTCAAGAGGAATCCGCTGTCTTCTGGTCATTTCGACCCTCGAATCTCTCCACCAAGCACCTTATCTCGGAACGAAAATGAGCTCAACAAGTATTACCTTCATCAACTATTGCATGGAATTTTGGGAAGACGTAAAATTTATGCTGCAGTTAAGAAATGTGCTGCTCATTTCTGTTGTCATGTTACGAAGTTCTCATAACAATTTCATGAATACTATGAAGGCATGTCGTTTAATTTCGAGGGAAGGTTGCTGGAAAGAATTCATGAATTGACCAAATCGGAAACCGAAATATTGCCTTCGAGTGAAGACTGCGACCCAGATAAGGCGGTGCAATGCCTTCGCTAGCCCCTAATCCTATGAAAATGGGCGCAAGCAATTAATAGGGTAATTGAAGAATAAGTTGCAGCGAGCAAAATAATAGTTAAACAAAACATGTGAATAACCTCAAGTCTGCTCAGGGATATCACACCTGGCATGGATACAATAGACAATGTGCCAAAGCATGAGTCGACAGCTAAATACCATACGCTGCGACCACAATCACATCAACCGACTTAACCCATCTGCAAGTGTGTATGGCAACAATGAAGCCAAATGAATCGTATGCATCATTGAGATCGAAAAATTAAGCTGACGAGTTTGGTTTCAACCAACTGCCGTCGTTTTTTTAATATGGCTTCCTGCCGACAACGTTCATTATATGAGACGAAAATTCAGTACGGGTTCACTAGGGTCGCAAGACGGTGAGCCGAAGGATGCTTCACAAAAGCAACAGACCCCATCCCGCCGTCTCCTGAGGCAAATTGACGGCCGTCATCCCAACTAACTTTACCTTCTAGATTAAAAATTTGAGTAGCAGACTTACTTGGCAAGCATAAAAACCATATACTTACTATATTTTTTATTTTAATCCTCAAGACAAGGTAGTGTTCACTCTATAATTGCATACACCTGCAAAGGAGTCCAGTTTTCAACAAATACTTGGCAAAGTTTGCAGCAAAAAGCGCTCATAAAATACAATGAATTATATCAAAATACATTCACACATAGTTGTCTCCGATCAGAACACACAAACCTTCGTAGAACCTCTTATATTCAATAAAGTAGGCTTCTTTATGTAGTAGAAGCCGGAAAATTTGTGCATACCCTTCCAGATAACGATGAATCTACTGTTGGCCTGTGTTCGACCTTCATCTTAAGAGTATGCCCTACTACTAATATTTTATGCACATAGCGCAGAAAATAGAATGAATTACACATTTTTACATATCTCGTCTGCGAGTCTAAAAACAAACAATAAGTAAAAATAGTGCACGAAGAATATGTAACACTGAAGATGTGGGTCAAATTGGGCATAATCAAATGAAATAATTGGATAAAATACCCGGAGGGCCGTCGAGTGATAGTTGGGAGTTGAGCTAGCAAATGCTTGAATACGAACTTCACTAAAATATTTGGCATTACTTAAAACACTAAAGTAGAAAGGCGGTAATGCTGTAAATTAGATCATTCGTATAATATGAGATGTCTCGAAAAACTACTTATAAACGAAAGAAGAATTACAATAGGTTTTTCTTGTATTTTGTCAGGCTTCTAAACTTATATATATATATATATATATATATATATATATATATGTGCTAATTAACCTAATAGTTTCAAATAAGAATACTAGTTAGGGCAGAATTATGAGAGTCAGTATGGTCTACGTAAATTACATTAGTTCTTTTGTCAAAAAATTGATTAAGCTCTTTCTTAAAAAGCGTAAGCTTATGTGCAAATCAGGACCCAAAATACAGAAATATGAATCCTTTGCTAGTCCGATAAGAAAGGTTGTTGAGGATTCTAGAAAACTGACTAATCCAAGATCATAATAATAAATGAAGAAAACGCTAGTAAATTATTCATGCAAATTTGAAAAAAAACATTTTATTTGGAGAGAATCTAGGATGACCGCACAAAGTCAGTGAGCATATGTGATCAAACTTAGTAAAAATGCACGACATAGTAAATGCTGAGGTAATGCGAAGTAGAAATAGAGTACAAATAAGCTTACAAATTAAATTAAAATGTGGACACGATTGCAAGTATAAATGGACCATAATCAGAGAATTTAGAGGCAGACAAGCGAAATGGTGTTAATTTCACTTAAACAACCTAGTTGAGGACCACTATATTTACAAGGATAACATCATTAAAAATCGAGATGTAAATGAGATAAGGGTCTACCTTGAACCAATTAATGAATAAATAGCTATTTACTTGAATATAAAATAAAGGTAAAAAGACTAACATACAAAAACTCACATACAATTAAGAAAAAAAAAAGCAATCGGTGACTGATGAATATAGCATAACGAAAAAATATTCGTCTAAAGATTGCGGCCAGTAAACAAAAGGATAGCATTTGTAATTTATGTAAGAATTATCAAATGTCGAACAAGAAAATATTAAATAGATATTTTAAGTTGTGATCAAGCAGATATTAATACGATCTCCAAGACGACCCAATAATTTTTCTAGACCAAAATATACGATTTCCTAAGATATTCAGTGGACCTTTATTTTAAATAGAAACATTGGCAACGGGCAAGATGATAATCGAATGAAAACGAAAGGTGAACAAAAATGATCATGTATGGACAATAAAAGCCGAAAAGTAGCGAAATTCGGAAGCACGATACTCCTAAATATGTTTGATGCGATCTAGACCTTTTCGCTTCAATTACGGATAAGTAGCAAAAGCCGCTCGAATGCAAATTAGTCAAATTAATTACTAGAAAAATGGTAATTAGTCTATCAGTCGTCAAAAAAGTATTGATAAAGAAAAGCGAGGTTAAATAAGACAATGTCAATTGTCATTATCGTTCAAGTTATGGAAAAGCTAATGAAAGAACTCGGCCAAGGAGGTCAAGGCAATGCCCCCACAAAGAGCAAGTACTTCCATGCTACTATGGAAAAATGCGTTTAAAATTCCAGTTTGGCCTGCATGAATTCTATTAGAATGCGTATCTTCATTAGTTCTGAGATCTGATGTGTCAGCCAGAAGGTCTGGAAGTATTACTGAAAGTGATATGTAAAGAAAGCCACCGGCCGTGAACGGCAATATGGTGCTGGTAACAGCTTCAGGTGAAATCGCGAACCGAAGAGCAAATAGGGCGACTTCAGGACTGAGCCAATCGAGACCAACACCAGCGGCTAAAAGACTCAAGCAAGCACCGACCAGGGCGCCAATGGCCGTAGTAAGCTGCAATAGAATCGCCTAAAAATCATATAAAGGGTAGAGACAAATACAATTGTCAAATAATGGTTCCAGGTGGCTTGATATATTGAAGAGCATACATAGGTTTTAAGGAAAGTATTAAATCGAATATCAAAATATAAGATAATTATGTGACAGAGAAAATGAGAACAGTTGCCCAAATAAAGAAGACATGATAGATAATATAAATATTCAATTGAGAACTTATTTGACAAAGTAATAGTGCGATGACAACTTTGTCGTTCCCAGTCAAAATAATGGAGATAATGTCATCATAAAGCATACAAATGTATGACCTGAACAAGTGAATAAACGCCACAGCCAACTATTAAACAACTAAAAAATAAAGGCTTATTCCTAATAAAGATTGACTCCCAAAAAATTATATACAAGTTTTGCACGAATGAAAGATTAGGGCGTAGGCTAATTTCATAGGATATAACCCACCGGTAATATATAAAATTCGAATACTCAGCATAAATA